CCTAAAGCAGGATTCATGCAGACATTTAGTGATGAAATCCAAAATTGTGACCTCAAACTGTATCTCCTTAATCTTGAAGCTGTCTGAAATGACTAAGACTTAATTTCTGTCAGTACAAAATCTATTCTTGGACTGATGATATATGTGTGCAGCTCCACAAATTCTGTTCCCAGATATATTTTCAAAAAACCAGAATGTCAGAGGACCACAGTATTTCAGCACAGCAGAAAGGTACTTGTTCTCATTTTCACCTCTGGTTCTGTTGCTCTGACCTGTACATGAAATGCCATCAGATAATACTGCCTACTTCTATTTAGGAAAGGAGCATCAGGGGAGACTTGATGATACTGGAGAGTCCTAAAACTGTATTTCTTTTTCAGGAGGCTTAATTTATGTTGATTTGAGAGTCCTAGAGATAAAAGGTAACAAGAGTAGAGTAAGGACTCTGAAAAATAGTGATGAAAGTGTTCTCTTCAGCCATTTTAAGTGCTGTGGGCCAGGTCAGCATACTGGGCTTGAAACCTAGTCTGTTCTTAACTTTTTTTACTTTTCAGTTATCTCTGCCACTCCCATAGTGCCCACAACTCGACTGTAGACTTGGAAATGCAAAGTATATCTTGAAAATTCTTCTGCAATAACTCTCATTATGGAATATAGTTATCTGAATTTGTTGGCATGGTGAAGTTAAATTGGACTGTTTAGAAGATAGTTTTTCTGACTGTGATAAAAAAGATGAATTTAGCTCCCATCAGCTGTGAATTCCCTTTACCTATCACAAGTTTAGGAGGGCAAAACTACTCTCAGTCTCTGATTATGCAGAAACATCTTTGCTGCAACTGAACTGCAAAGACCAATTGGTTCCACAGAGATTCATTTGTGTCTATGTACCAGCATACAGATAAAGACATCTGATAGAAAAAAGACAAGTGGTGCTATTTAAGTGCATATTTCTCTGTGCTTATTTTCAATTACTAAAAATAATAATTAGAAGATTGTAATTGCTGGAATGACAATGGTATTGTTATTTAATACTTCCAGTGGTCTTGCACCAGTAAATTTCCTTTCATGTCAATTAGGTACCATGGAAAAAAGGGAGAAGAATGTTTAACAATGTGATTCAAGTATAAAATAAAAAAATACATTCTTAGACATTGTCAACTCAAATTAAAACCTGACTGAAAAAGGAAAAACTATGCTTATTTGGAAAATGACAGCAGGTAATAATGAATTATCATAAAAGAAGAGACTGCAGTTAAAACTTGAACCTTGATTTAAAATTTTCTGACAAATTATTTTGATCCAGTTCATGGTTAATGGTAAAGTGCTAAGGAAAACTTGTAAAACACCCTATTAATTAGAAAATTTGGAAAAGCAGTAAAGTTTTAAATGTTGTATTAAAGTTCAGATGAAAGGAAAATGATTGTTGTGTGTTCTGGAGGGTGCAGAGGGCTGTGATTATTTTATGGGGTTTCTTTTGTTTTCTTTTATTTTTACTAAACCAATATTTCCTGCAAAGAAGCTCAGACTTTGAGCAAATCTCGTCATATGTGAAAGCATTTTCTCACCAATAGAATCAGTGTTTCAGCCTTCTGGTAAAATGATCACCACTTGGACATTGATGGTGTTAAATTCACCATTCTCTCATTGGCATTTGAGTAATGCCAACTCTTCACTGAATCTGATGATGGGGGACCAGACTGTTCAAAACTGACTGGAGACTTAGCCAGCTGGCTCCATCCTGTAGTGAATAATGGGATTGGTCATTCCTCCCTGTACCTATCAGCACTTCTGTTTGGAATGTCTTCATCTGATAAGTATGAAACTTTTACACTATATTTTTCAGTTCTTCTTAATAAGTACTTTTATATTGGTGCCTATTTAGAACTTCTCCTCTGTAGTTTGTGTATGTGTAACAAAGTGACAAGGCACATGAAGGAAAAAAAGAATAAGAAGTCCTGTAAATTGTGTATGTTCCATTGGTGGCTGTAGAATAAAGGAATAAAACAGTAAGAATTTTTTTTTTTTTTAATTTTACTATCTACTATTTGGTATTAAAATATGTGTTCTAAATTTACTTTAAAGTGGGAGCAGAGCTTTTTCATTTTAGAAAGGCGAATTGTTTGTCTGCAAAACAGACAAAAGTTTCTAAGTTTCTAAATTCAATACCCTAATTTCTTTGCTCCATGACATTTTCAAAGAGCAAGTGGTAGACATGGTAATAAGCTCTAATAATTCATCATAGTTGAAATTACATTATTTAACACTTCAGCACTAAGAAATCTAGTAAAAAAAAGAGAAAAAGCCTTCAGTGTTTCTCAGAATGAGCAAAATGCTTTTGGTATGTGGCAAGTATTATGCTATGGTACTTACACTCTGAAATTGAATCAGCTCTTATTCTCCTGCAGAATCTTACTTGAAATTCAGATGCTTAGAAAGATGGGCTGTAGAAACAGAGTAGCACAGATTTGTGCCTGTCATTCTGCACTTGTACCACAAGTAATTGTTACTGGGCAGCTGAGTTAGCAGTAGAATAAAACCACAGTTTTCAGAAAGAGTTCTAGGTAGGACGCCTTTGAAGCTCTATCCATGTTACTGAAAGAACAGTGAAACTTAAAGCTCTCCTTAGATGCTATTAACAGCATTTTTTAAACTAAATTTTAATCTTTGATGTTGTTTCAGTTTACTATTGACCATGAAATTACTGATGCATTGCTCAAAGGAAGTGCTGTGTCTTGGGGTGGAGGGGTAAAAGGCACGTTGTTTAGGTTCTTTGTAAGAGCAGTGGCCAGGTTCTGTACTCCCAGTGTGTAGCCTCCCAGATGTGAAGCTGGCACTGGTTTTCTTTGTTCCTTTTCAGAATTTATCTACGGCCGTCAGCTGAGATGGGCAGATTGTGCATGCTGCGTGGCATATATTATCCTGCATCATGTGTGCCTCAGACTTGCTGGAAAAATGGCCTAGAACACATAAAAGGCCAACTCACAGATGAATGACAGCTGGCTAAAACTGAACTCAGATGAATTTGGATTTGTTTTGAATTCGTGCCCTATTTTTGTTTTCTACTTGGATTCTTCATCAATACTAAATTTCCCCCTGTAGATACTAGAGTAATGCTCAGTTCTTCCTGTTCTTATTAGGAAACTGACAGAATGAGAGGACACAGTCTTAAGCTGTGCCAAAGGGTATTAGGAAAAAGCTTTAACAGAAAGAGTGATAAAGTATTGTAATGGTCTGCCCAGAGAGGTGGGTGTGTGGGAGCAATCATGTTTATACATGAAACTGCTGCTGGTTGGAGTGCAACAATAAGCTGTGTCTGAAGTCATGTGTGCTTACAAAATTCTAGTGCAGAGCACCAGGATGAATATTCACAGAAACAAAAGACTAAGACTATTTTTTTACAATACTTCCCCTATTTCTTATCTATTGACAAAACATTTTCTCAGTCATAAAGGTCAGTATCAAATCTAGGCTGCTTACAGTGGATGGAGTCTTCTCAGAAGTGATGGAATAGAAAGGAAAGAGCCATAACTTTATGATGCAAACTGTCCTTTACTTTGCCTTGGCAGCTCCAGTTCATTAAAACAATGTTTTCATTGTGATCTGAGTCAATAAGCCTTGGTACCAGTAAAACACAGTATTCATCTATTCCCCTCAGCAGTACTGTAATGTTTATTTATGACCAATCAGACTGCTTTGCAAAAGGTATATTCATGCCAATTACATGCTGCCCATTGCATGAAATGCCTAATTAAAGTTTCCTGTATTAATTTTAGCATGATTGAAGTTAGCTTGCTAGCAGACACAAAGTCAGAAGCACTCCAAGACCTATGTAAGTCCCAGAAGGTGTCTGAAACATATTTTTCTCTAACTCGATTTGGATTAAGCCACTCTGTAAGCCACAAATTCAGAAAAAAAGGTAGGTCTGAAATCATTCATATGTAGAAAATAAAACTTTAAACTGCTTTTAGGTAGCACAGCATAACATCTTGCTTTTTTTGATTTTGTTGCTAGTTCTCCTAGGTGTGCCCGTAATTTCAGAATTTCATGTTTCATTGCTAATATTGTGACTTGGCTGATAGAAAAGCATTTGGCAATTTGCATTCAGTTACACAACAATTATGATCAATATAAGCATAAGGAGTGACCCTGTGCAAGTGAAACTGATTCTCTGTTGTTGTGCACTCTAGAATTGGAGAACATTTGTGAAGGTGAGCTAGTCCAGATACATATCATTATGGTGGCAATAAGTGAAACATTGAGAATTTTTTTTACTTTTCTGGATTTTATAAGGGATAAAGAGGAATTTTTAAAAAAGTTCTTATTGTTTTAGATTTAAATATTGCACCTTTAAATATAGCTTATATAGCTAGAGATATCATTCATCCTGATAAGGCCAGAAGAATATGAATTGAAATAATTTGCCTTTGTTAAAGTGTGCGTATCCCATTGATTGTGCACCAACAATTATGTAATACAAGAAGGGACAATTAAACTCAGTGGATTTAAACTATTTTATCATATTGGACTATATTATGAGGTTTGTGGGAAGAACATGACACATTTAGTGTAGTAATAACAATTTTCCAACTCACAAGTCATTTAAATGGAGATAGATCTAATAATAGTCAGCGAAAGTGGCTTTCCTAAAGCTCATACTCCATTTCAGTTTCACTGCCTGGAGCTTATGAGGGATGACATTTCAACATTCTCTTTCATGGCCTTTTCAGGAATGAAGCAGCATCTCATTGAGATAACTAGAATATGCTGCAAAGAGTAGATAATGGTCATTTCTGGGATGCTGCAGGTATGAAGAAGATGTTCTCATATTTTCTATGCTTCTTGTTGAGGAGTTGAAAATAGTGAAACTTGGCTTTTCTTTACATTTCATTACCAGTCTGACAAAAAGGCACACCAGTCATCACCATGTGCTAACATTATATACAACTTTTTAATGCTTTCATTAATACCTTATAAATACAGGAGAGGAAAAAGCAAAAAATAAGCATGAAGATAGCTGAAGGAACTAAAAAAAACCTGAAAACCACTCTTGGAGGCAGATGTTCATTGCCCTTTATCGTGAGGTCTTGAATAGCAGTTCTCTTAGGTTATTTGCATGACATTGCTTGGATCACAAAGTAAGGAAAAGAACAGGAGTGATGTTTTCATGGTCCTGTTTTCAGCAGGAGAGGGTTCAGGTTTGCAATACATGTGAAGGGGCATGGCCAGGATCCTGATATTATTGGATGCAATCTCACATCTTTGCCAGGGTGGGGAACAGGGACTCTCACTTCAGGGGATAAGGACATTCCTTCAGGTGGAGAAGACCACGGGAAAGATCCCCCCAATTTACCCCTTTAAGCTGAAAAAGGGAGTTGAAACACTACAGCTGAAGAGAGCAATTTTGCACCTAACAGCCGAAGATTGGAACTGAGCTTGCAAAAATGGGTATTTGTTTATTTTGGGGGGATTTTTGTATAAATCTTTTCTTTGTCTTATACATTTTGTTATTAATATTTTTGCTGTTACTGTTCATTTTCTTATCTCATTGCTGTTTCAAATAAATTGCCCTTCTCTGAACCCATGATCTTTGCCTTTTGTGTACCCAGTTGAAGGGGGTAAGGGAGGTGAGTGAAGGTTATAGTGTGAGCACTAAATTGGAGAATGACATTACAAAACCATGGCCCTTGGTCATTGAAAATCAATAGAAATTGGAAGTAGGAAATAAACAAAATTGAACTTCCAAGGAATGGCCATCAGTATTCTAAAGCATCAAAGTTAAAAATGTGTTTAGACCTACCTGACTTGTGAGCAGTGTGGTAATTGTTTGCAGTATGTTAATTTTAAAAGGGAAAAAGAACCAGGATTCATTTTTTTATGTAGCACAAAAATGGGCCATGGAGGAATTGTTTCCAACTTCTTGAGACTCAAAAAGGAGGGGAACTTTCCAATAATAAACTGGATGTCTTCTTATCTTTCTATAGGCAGAAACCAAGAATTTCTGAATTATTGCTCCTTGGTACCTGCAGAAACATCAAACTCTGTTGTATCAGGTTATTGTAGCAAGGACATAGATTTCACTATGAAAAAAATATAAACCACTTTTTCATCCTTATCCTCTCCCTTCACAAATCTATGTCTGTATATATCTAAGCATTATGCATTCACAAGACGTCTTTAGATATTGTCTTGAAAAGAAAAGAAATCATAGATAAGTCAAAACCTCTTTATAAAAGCAAATGCAAATTTTTCTCCCTAATACTTTGGAAGTGTTCTTCTCTTGTTGAAAGACACAAGGCTGGTGAATACAAAATGACCCTTCTTTTATTAACCTCTGTAAGGGGGATTTGAAACCTAAGATAAAAATATTTCATTCAATTTCTTCATGTTAGAGCTAATCTTCACAGAGATATAGTTTACTTTTTACTTCTGAGGTAGAAGCTGTATACTCCCTTGGAAAAAGAATTATTATTGCAGTCACTTAACAGTGTCCACTTACCCCACGCTAGGAATTCAGATTTTTCTCAAGCAATATTTTTCTCACAAGCAATCATGGCAGGAATTACTACAAGTGAAAATATATACTGGGTTTTTTTATTCTTTATGAAGGGGAAACAAATGGTAATATTACCTGCTTTACTAGAAAATGGGTCTCTCTTTCTTTAACTTTCAGAAAGTTAAATCACCCAATCTGATTGCAATAATTAATTTCATCATGATAGATTCAGCACTCAAATTTCATTAGGCTATGTGTTATGTATTGTCTAGAACACTTTAAAAATTAAATGTGCAGAGAATGTGTTTTTTTAAAAATAAATGTGTCTATACACATATTTATATCAAAAAGTCATACAGGAATGAAAATGATAAAATTGCTTTCCTTCATGAGTTGAAACAAAATGCATTAGTTTTTTTCCCTTTCAGATATTTTTTCTATTTTATTTTTGTTGTGTGAAAATACCCTCTGTGCTGAAGGTTGATACACCTTATTTACTCCTTTAAGTTGAAAATATGAGCTGAAATCCTACAGTGGAGGACAATAGATTTGTACTTAACAACAGATGATTGGAACTGAGCTTCAAAAAAAATTTCTATGCATTTTTTCCTAAGTCTGTAATTATTAAAAACCACAAATGATTGCAAAACCCAGATAGCCAAGCATCCATTGTAATGATATTTTTGTCTAGAGATTTTCACCAGCTACCATAGTAGCAGAAATATTTTTGACTTTAATAGCAGCTGTAGGTCTTAGTATCAGGCAGAACAGTTACCAGTTCAGTTCCAAGAAATTTTGGGGTTAAAAGATACCACTGGACAACATAACAGATATAGGAGAAAAGGTAGGTTTTGTAAGGCTATGTCTCCATTAACAAGTAGTTTAGATTGACAGAAGTGGTTGGAGAAGCGTTTGTCCCTGATGACCTTTCAGCCATATTCTGATCATCTTGGAGGTGATACAAAACAGCTCTTGTCTCATATGTTCTTGAGCTCTATTTTCCAGTTTGGTTTTATACAAAAGAAGAGCATTGAAGACACTTTCGTATCTCTCTACAATGCTCATCAAGGTGCAGCAGGTGGTAGTAAGTATGAGGTTCAATTCCAAAGTGCAATCCTCAAATTCTCTAAAATGCTTATAGAGATGCATATTGTTTCACCTTTTAGTGTGTGCTGACTAGATCTTGTTAATGATACTCTGTAAAACTGAGACATGTGGATGTTAATTTACCAGAAAAAAAATCTGCTAATCTTTTCATAATTTTATGAGAAGGCAAAGAAAACCCCATAAAATTACAGGTACAGTTTTTCTCTATAAAAGGTTAATTTAATGCCAAAGATATAAAATAAAGTTCTTTGAAACCTCTCCTTATATTCTGAAGATTTAATGAACTTATCACTGGCAATCAAAGAGAATCTACGGTCTAATGCTCCAGTAAACCACACTATTTGTGAATCTGTTTGTGAAAATTCCTACTAAACTCATATTTAAGTGTTGAAATAGTGAACTGTGCTATTTCTGAATGAGAACAGACTTACAGCATAACCCACACTATTTGCTCATCTGAGATATTATTGAATGTGAACAGAATTGATGATGCTGAATTTTTCTAATCAGAAATTAAACCTAGCTGCACCCAACCCCTTTGATCTCTGAGGACTAGCTGGAAAACAAGTGGGTTTATTTTCTGCCAGATTTCTGTACCCTAAACAAAGCCATATGCTGAATTATCTGGACTCTTAGGATGTCATAAAACTGTAAAAGGTCTTCTACAGAAAAGACATACATGCTTCTGAGTCTGATTTTTGATCCTTTCTGCTCCTACTAGAAAGTCCCCAAAAGCTTGTGTCTTGAATTTTCTACTTCACTCTAGGCAAAGCAGCACGCCTTCTAAAGCCATAGGCAAATGCCAAAAGCTGATTTTTAGATGTGGGATTCTGATTAAAAAAAATTCTGCAAAGGAAAGCCTTTTGATTTCTTGGAAAAAGCTACATCATTCCAAGTTAAATACAAACCTTGGACTCATCATGCTTGCGTCAGTGCCAGTCCCACTCACTATGGTGCCTCCAGAGGCCTTGTCTATACCCAGAAAGATCAGCTGGCAATTAAAAGCAAGCAAACAAAACTGCCTAAACCAAGAGTACACTTTTCATACTCAGAGTATGAAAAATGTTATACATAACTTTAGCTGAAAACTGTTTTACACTTCATTTTTTCACAGAGGCTGTCTTGGCAAGTAGACTCCAAGTGAAAGGTATGCTAAAGAATTATGTTCTCAACACAAAACCAAAGGTATATGGTGTTTTATCTTCAAAACAAATATGGTTTTTTTGTTCAAAACTTAGCAAAATACTCCCAAAAATAATAAATAAAAACTTCTTAAATATTTGTATGGATTCTTGGTGTAATGTTACAATTTAAGTGGCAATGTTAGTATACATTTTTTTCTATTGTTTTCTACTGACTGCATTGGAAACAAGATTACTAGATATACTAAAAATAAAGCATAATGTTGTTTTGATGAACTAAGTGTTTCTTCAAAAGAAAGCTATTTTTTTTTTTATTTCCAGTTTATGTTAAATTTCAGCAAGCTGGCTAAGCAGGCTGATTTCCTTTGGGTGATGTGGAAATTGCAAGGTTTACCATAACTTTGGAGTAAGACTGATATCACTAGGGACTGCAACATCTCTCCTATGAGGAGAGGCTGAGGGAGCATGCTCATCCATGATAGATTGGTTGGAGCTAGAACATATTTAAGGTACCTTCCAGCTCTAGACTGTCTATGATTCTCTGGTTCTATGACTCTATGATGTGTAAGAGCTGGAACTAACCGAGGACACAGTCAACATGCAGGGTTTGTTTGCTGCCCCCCATGTCTCCAACTGTGATGTAGTAGAACTTGCTACACGCTCAAGCAGAAACTGCTGCCTGGGGCTTAAGAACAGGTCACCAGAATGCCGACATGGACATGCAGCACTCTCTGAAGGGGCTCATTTTGCTCTTACTACATCAGGGCACTTACAAGCATGAGCAATTGCCTACTTTCTCTAGTTGCCTTCTTGCCTGGAATAATCATCCTTTGTGGCTTGATTGCTTTGGTCTGCATTGTGCTTTTCGGCACCACACCTGCTCGTGGACAAAGGAAGACTGTCAAGAAGTTCAGGGAACCAGGAAAGATTGGATGTGATATCTGTAATGTAGTTGCCAACCCAAATGTACCTCCAGAAGACATTGAATTTGCTATAGGTGATTATCTAGTCAAGGTGGAGAAGGGGATCAGTCCTGACTCCAATGTGGTGAGTAGCAGGCTTTTTATCATCATTATTATTATTATTATTATTACTATTTCATCTTCACCATCATAGTGATAGATTTTCTTTTATTTGGTTGTTGCTGTTCCAAGCTCAGTTTAAAGTGGAATTTAGCTCTATTTTTAGTCCATCTTGATATGTAGGACAAACAAGGGGATCCCTTTACAGAAAGTAGTGGAAATTATTAATATTAATATGTTGTTTCTTAAACTATGAGCTAATATCAAGAAGTAGTTAATGATGTCATATATTGTTTATAGATTATAAATTTCCTTTGCAAATATTTCATCAGCTTTGATTTCAAAATTGATATTTGTATGTCTCTGAATATGAAGACAGGCCTGACAAGTCAATTTGTGTGTTTAAAGATAATATATTTATAGCCAGATTAAAATACTCAGTGCTAGTCTCTTGTATTTCTATGTGTGTATATATATACCTACAAATTTATATCTTATATATGTATATATATGTTAGAATGTTACTTTTTTATATATAGAATTTAATATTTATTTTAGTACTTGAGAAGACAGGTTCATCTACTCCTTTTAAGAACCCTTCTATAAACTTGCCATATCTTTCATCCTTCTATTGGAGTTGTTCTCTATTCGTTAATAGTTTATGGCTGGAAAAAAAAGGACGGTGATATTTGTATTGTCAATATTTTGTCCAAATTTGTATTGTCAACAGTATGAATATTGAAAAAAAAGAAAAAAAATGGTACTGTTTATGTAAAAATATACAGCTTTTTTAGTGCAAATTCATTTGGACTTCATCCATCTTGCACCACAGGTTGTATCATCTGGTTCCTTCTTGCTCAGAGTTCCATATAATGGAAAGAACACAAATCTGGAAATATTTACATATACATTCACATGTATGTATGCACAGACATCTGCATCTATGATCACCTTCGTTCTAAGGACACAGGTGCAGGCAGTTCCCAAATGCTGGAAGTCAAGCAGACAAGGCAGAAAGCATTACTTATGGCACAGAAGCCACTGCTTCATACTGGGTTCCAGAGATGGTGGTTGCATGCCATGTTCATGTAATGAAGCTGTCTCATCTTAATGATTTTACAGTGTGTAAACTTTGAATAGCTATCATTTGTAGGTACTGATGTTTTCTATAATGATGCTCTGTAAAAGATAATGATAAAGTTAAATCTTTTCACTTTTAGAACCATTTGTGGTAATGTAAGTCCTTTAGACAAACAATAGAAGTACTGTTTCTGGTCCATTTGAAACTACTGAGTACATTATGAAAATGAATAGGAGAAAGTTAAGCAGCAACAGTAGATGGTAACTTTGCAAAATAATGTGGCTTTTCTGTGTTTATATTGCACAGAACTCTGTAGATAAAAGAAGGGGAAAATAGCCTGGCATAATGAGAGTGGGAATAGCTTGTTTACTGGTACACCCTATCTAAATATTTTTACTGGAAACTGCAGACCCTGCTAGAGCTCTTTCTGATCTTTATGGTTTTTTTGTATGTGCAAAACCAGATATGACAGAAATCCAGTTTCAGATTGGATTTTTAGATGCTAGCACAGTATTAATTAAAGTAGGTAGAATAAAGGCAGTGATCAATCTGACACATTTTAGCTAGAAATAATTGAGGTGAGGAATATAACTGATGTTACCAGTACTTACCAGGCATTTGTCCACCCTTCTAGAAATGAATGCTATTATTTCCTTTTGATTAGAACTGTAAATATGACTATGTTTTGAGAATCAGTATTGAATTTCAGTAAGACAGGTAAATGCTCTTCTTCTGGGCCATTACTATCAGAGTACTGAAATGAACCTGATTCTTATTAGGATTTTAGATTTAATTAACTTAAGTTTATTTCTTTTCACTTATAAAGTGCCTGGAGATGTTTCCAAAAGAGCAGTTTGTGCCTGGCAGCAATGTACGGCAAGTACAACTGGTGACTGATGCCCAGGAAGACAGAAGTTCAGATGAGCAAAGTTATATTTTGACTTTCCAGTACTTGCAGAACTCTTTACAGATCTTCCTGGAGAGAATTGCTGGCACTTCCCAGAAAAGAGGTGATGTGACATCCACCACCATCACTAAGAACAGAAAGTCCAAGTAGGCAGCAAAAGACAAGCCAAGAAGGCAGCAAAAGTGAAGTTAAAAAGAGAGAACCTACCCTGTTTTCAACTTGGCAACTTGCCCTTCTACAACTTGCAGTGCAAAGAACCTTCTCTCCTTTGTCACCTAAGAACTAAGCTTGCGGGTGTGCTTCTCACTGCTTCATTAAAAATTCACTGTGGTTAACACTCATACTAGATGTTTGGGTTTATTTATAGCTTTTTATGTTTAAATGTGATACACTGACATTGTTGGTATAATTGAAAACCAAATTCATTGTTTTAACTTCAGTGCAGAGGAAACTATGGGGAAGTAAATGCTTTTATTTTACATTTCCATTTGAGAATTAGAAATACTGATTAAAAAAAGGATTTTTTCTTAGTGTTAGCAAATCTAAGTGTCCATCTATTAATTGATGCCTGGACAAAAATGCCCAGTGGCACTTGTTAAAATGGAGAAATGTAAGTAACAGGTGTCCTAGTAGAATAGCTGACACTTATTTTTAAGCCTACACTTACTGTTCTGACATAAATTTGACATGCACCTGTTATTATTGACTTGGATACATGACTGCTGTGTCCTTTGTTTCATTTTTGGAGACTGTCTGTTTTTTCACCCTAGATATTTTTTCACGATAATATGTATATATATATATATATATATATATATATAAAATAATGTATATTATCCTTAAAAATGAATGAACTTATGGGGTCATATCTGTCTTGCAAGTAGTCACCAGTTAGGTTCTGCAGACCTCTGTTTTATGACGAATGCTCCTCAACCTCTTCATAGATCAGTTGGATTCAGGATCCAAAAGTATATGAAGTAAATTGACCAATGATAATAAATTAGGAGGAGCTGTTGACTCCCGTTAGGGCAGAGAGATCTTGACAAATGAGAAGGCTGGGAATTCACCAGTGTGTGGGGAATGAGATGATGGAGAGAAGCACTGCAGGAAGGGACCTGGGGTCCATGGCAAGGTGACCATGAGTCATTGTGCCCTGGCAGCCAGGAGGGCCAACCCTGTCCTGGGGGGCATCAGGTACAGCATGGCCAGCCGGGCAAGGGAGGGGATTGTGCTGCTCTGCTCTGAGCTGGGGCAGCCTCACCTCAAGTTCTGGGGGCAGTTTTGGGTGCCACAATATAAAATAGTCAAACTGTTATTAGGGAGCATCCATAGGAGGGCAACAAAGATAGTGAAGAGTCTGAAGGGGAAGCCATATGAGGAGTGGCTGAGGTCACTTGGATTTTTCAATCTGGAGAAGAGGAGACTGAGAGTTAACTTTGCAACTTCCTCATTAGGGGAAGCAAAGGCACTGATTTCTTTTGTCTGGTGACCAGGATCCCTCAGGATCTGAGGGAACAACATGAAGCTGAGTCAGGGGACATTTAGGTTGGATATGAAGAATAAGTCTCTTCACCCAAAGTGTGAAGTTTCTTCAGTTGAACACTGGAACAGACTCCCCAGTGAAGAGATCAAAGCACCAAGCCTGCCAGACTTAGGCGTTTGGATAATGTTCTCAGGCACATGGTGTGACTCTTGGGGTCGTCCTTTGCAGGGCCAGGATTTGAATTGTGATGGTTCTTTTGAGTTCCTTCCAACTCAGGGTATTCTATGAGTCTATGATTCATGTAAGATACACATATGTTAGCTCTGGGTTTTTTCCACTGCAGAAGGATTACATTTTTTGGTGACAGATAGAGGTCCAAGGAATGTATGAATGCTGTTTGCTGTGGACTGGTACTAGCTTTTATTCTGTTACCAGGACCAGCAAAATTTTTGTAAACTACATTTTTGTGTATCTTAAAAAAGGTGTTTTGTTTCTTTAAGTTGGTTTTGTCTTTTGTTGACCTTTTAAGTATCACTGAAGAATTTTCACATAATTTAAAAGACTCTTGTATTAACACTCAGATTCCAACTTCTGTGAAAAGAAAAATTCATGCCAGGAAAATGAAAGGATTCTTGATTAAAAATCTCATTTTAAAAATAAATGCCTTCTCAGATGTGTGGGAAATATACTATTACACTTCTTTTTGTTTTCAGTAATCCCTGGGAAAATACTAGTTCAGATTGATTGCTAGGTTATTTAAGATCCTGAGCTATTAAAATAGTGTAGAACAGATACTGCTCTGCAATTATATTCACATTTGTTTCCTTTTAAATTTAAAACTTTTTCAAATATTAAGACTCAATACTGAATTACTGAATGAAATAATATTAAAATAAGGAATGATTTTTTTTCCTCCAGAAACATTTTGGAACTCAGTGAAGATTGTGTATGCAAAAGTTTAAACAAGTATTTAAAACCATTAAAATCAGTACACACCATTTTTCAGTCTCAGAGAGATGTTAAGTGAGGAATTTCACATTACATTTTTTTTCTTTTTTTATGGTTGATC